ATATATATAATTTGCAGAGATTTTCTGCCTGAAGTCAATTTTGAGGGTTCAGATTTAGCTTGGAGGAGAAACACATCCTTCAGTATAGGAGATGAGGGAATGAGAGAAAATATTTTTTAAAGAAGCATTTCTGTAAAAATTAGAAATTACTTTTTAAAATCTATTTAAATTTTGGCTTAGAGAATGCCAACTCTGACTATATGGCCTTGTGTTGCAAAGCAGATCGGTGGCTAGTGTCTGTTGTATGTGTGTGCAAGAATGATTTCAGCCAAATCTGTTGTCATGTTAGTAAACAATTTGAAAACAATGTAATACTTGAGTTTTTCTTTTAGTTCAAAATTTAATTTTTCCTTTTGACCTTACCAATATTTCATTCAACAAACCATTAAAGCACTGATTGTACTTGGAGATGTGACTAGCAATCAGTCTGACACTCAAAGAAAGAATGGGGTAATTAAAATTTTTTTTAAATTTCATCTTTGACCTAAATAGGTCAAATGGATTTCAAGATTTAAACTATCCTGAGATTTGCACACCCCTCGCCCCAAAATGGGAAACACAAGTTTTTTGTCACTTCATTTGTCATTCTGTTGTTTGACTGCCCATCCCCGAAAGCAAAATAACCAACACCTACTGAATTGTAAATTTCTGACTGCTTTGACCAGTTTAGTCAAATCATATAACCGTTCTAAATTTCAGAATTGAATGAAATATTTTATTCTTCTGTTCTCATACTTAGAAATTTAAATCCCAGGTTGGTGAGTCCAACTGCTCCTTTAATAATTCGTAACTTACTTTCTAAGTTTTAAATTGTATTGAAGAGAAAAATTTTAAAGGATTAACTTTTTTCTGTTTATAGTTTATTGCCTTCCTTCAGTTCCCTTTTCAAAAGAAGTTTGAAATTCACTGAATCTGATAAAGCAAGTCAAAGAGGTTTTGAGATAAGGTGGAAATGATTGAAGGAAGTTAATTCACAATTTCTCAATGAATAAAATTGTAGCTGTCATATTAAATAGGCAAGTTTACATGCTGGTATTTACAAAATTACTAAAATATTGAAAATGTTGCATTAATCTATTTTAAATCATACCACATTAAGAGTTCTGTGTAGGGTGTGGTTTTTTTTTCTTTTTAGAGATACTTTGTATAGTAACTCTTATGTTAGTGAGTTACATATGTACAAATTGAAACGAAATTGTGAACACTGGAAAGCTCCATTCTGACACAGAATATAAACATCTTAGTAAATAAAATAAATGTAAAGGAGGTTAAAATTACATTACTGTGAAACTTATCTTCCAACTCTAGGTTAAACTTTGGAGATTTATATTAGGGGGTAACTATTAAGAACTTTGAAAACACTGCAGATTTCTGTTCAAGCCAGAATTATTATTTCTTTGTAACTTATTCAGCTTGGCAATTGCTTTTGATTTAGTGGATTGATAACATGACATAATATATTTACATAGTTTGAAACTATTCATTTCTACACACTATTTTAAAAACTCATCTACTAGATGAAACATATAATAAAACTACCTGTGCTAAAATTTTGGAGTTTAGGTCCTTTAAAAAAGGAATAACCATTGACTACATCTATGATAAAAATGATTTTTGGTTTGCTTAGATAATGCTGCAGTTGGTGGGTATGATGAACATTTAAAATGCTAACACCCTGTAATGCATTGAAGAGAATAAACTTTGTAAAAAAAAAAATACAACACACATTCATGATAAAAACCCTACAAAAAATTGGAATAGACAGTCTCTACTTCAACCTGATAAAAGCCATCCATGAAAAACCAACACCCAATATCATACTAAACAGTCAAAAACTGAAATCCTTCACACTAAAATCAGGAACAAGACAAGGATGTCCACTATCACCACTC